CTACAACCAGGCCCAGGAGCAGCTACAACCAGGCCCAGGAGCAGCTATCATGACTCTTCCACTGTAGCTGCTGGCTACCATCAGAGGGCTGTTGTGACCAGGGATCGGGCGCCGGCTTTTCTCGGCTGTGTAAAAATCTACAGGTCGTGAGTAAACTTAATAATGTCTAATAAATCCAGACGTGGAAAGAAAGAACATTTGGATGAACAAGGTGTTGAGGAAATGGAGGACATTAAAAAGTCTTTGGACTTTATGAGTATGGAATTGACTAAACTGACTTCAAAACAAGAACTATTACTTGGTTTGTTTGAAGAAGTAAAACAACTAAAAATTCAAATAAATGAAAAAGACCAAAAAATAATTGAACTTGAAAAAAAAGTTGACGATATGGAAAGAAATGCTAGATTGGAGAATCTGATTATAACTGGTTTTACAGTAAAACCAAAGTCTTTTGCAAAAGCTGTGATGGGTTCGGTAACAACGGAGGACGCATCACAGCAAGATCTTCAGACACTGGAAGACCAAGTTATATCATTTCTGCAGGACAAAGACTTTAATATTGAACAGGAGGATGTGTCTACCTGCTACACCTTGCCAGGACAGGATAAAATTAAACCAGCAATAGTGGTTAGATTTATTAGCAGGAAACTTAGAAATAATGTGTTGATGCAGGCAAAAAAACTAAAGGGCACAAAGGTGTATATAAATGAACATCTAACAAAAAAGAATGCCAACATTGCACGGGAGTCAAGGTTGTTAAAAAAACAAAAAAATATAACATCTACATGGACGAGAAATGGATATGTTTGGATAAAAGTAAAAGAACAATCACAACCCAAAATAATAAAGGAAATGAAGGACTTGGAAAAATTTAAATAATCCAGAAGAATGGAAACCATCAAATCATCAAATTACATTTAATACATAATTGATAAAACATTTGTTCAATGAACGGATGTTTTTGACTATGACAGATCATACTGAAACTGAATCGAAAATATACAATGTTGATGACTTGATTGATCCTGGTTTTTTTCCAATAATAGAGGATTGTGAATATTATAGTGAACAACAATTTAATGATCTTAGCCTAAAAAAATCTGGCTTATCTATAATTCATTTCAATTGTAGGAGTATAAATGCAAATATTTCCAAGATTACTGATTATTTAAAACAACTTGATCGAACATTTACAATAATCGCATTGTCTGAGACGTGGTTAAAGGATGAAAATATAATTAATGCCCAAATCGATGGGTATGAATTATATACTATGAATAGATATAACAAAAGAGGTGGTGGTGTGGCACTTTTTGTAAATAGTGCTATAAAATGTAATTTAATCAGAGAAATGTCAATGATTGATGAGAATTTAATTGAAATGATAACTATTGAAATTATTAATAATAATGACAGAAATATTATAATAAGTTGTGTATACAGACCACCTGGATCGAATATTGAGGCATTCACAGATAAAATTATTGAACTGTTTGATAAAAGATGTAACAAAACAATTTTTCTGTGTGGTGACTTTAATATTGATTTAGGAATAAAAAAAGATTCTAACAACGTCGGTACATTTATAGAATCAATGCATTCGTTAAATCTTTACCCATTAATTTCAAAGCCAACAAGAATCACGTCTCACAGTGCAACTATAATTGACAATATTTTTACAAATACAACAAATGGGAATGTGACTGGTGGTATTTTAATGAGTGATCTTAGTGATCATTTACCAGTGTTTACAATTACAAGAAGTATCAAACAACCAAAAAAATAATTCCAAGTATAACTAAAATAATAAATACATCTAAGAAAGCATTGGATAAACTGAAAGATGACTTAGCGGAACAAAACTGGGATAGTGTTTATGTTGATGATGTAAATGAATCATATGATGCGTTTATGAATATCTTTGAAGCTTTATATAAAAAAAATTGTGTAACAAAAAACCACACTAAGAAGAAAGTTGTTGACCAGCAATGGATGACGAAGGGTTTGAGAAATGCTTGTAAAAAGAAAAACTATTTGTATGCATGTTTCCTAAAATGTAGAACAAAAGAAGCAGAAGACAAATATAAGAAGTATAAAAATAAATTAGTCGGGATTATAAGAAAACATAAGAAAGAATATTATAGTGATTTATTGAATAAAAGTAAAGGAGACATCAAGGCAACATGGCGGGTAGTGAATAATGTTTTACAAAAAAATATAAGAAAAACAGGCATTTCACAAAACTTTACAATAGACAACAAGAATGTATGTGATGAAAATGTAATTGCTAATGGATTCAATCAATACTTTGTGAACATTGGATCCAGCCTTGCTGCAACGATACCTAAAGTGGATAACAATGTGAACTATTTAATTGATGATTATCTTGCATGTTCCTGACTGGAACTGACAAATATGAAATAATGACTGTAGTCAATAAATTTGTAGACAAAAGATCAAAGGATTAGATGGATATGGACATGATGTTTGTAAAACACATATTGGGTCATGTAATCGAACCATTTACATATGTATGTAATTTATCTTTTACTAAGGGAGTATTTCCTGATAGAATGAAGGTGGCTAAAGTGGTTCCTCTTTTTAAAGGTGGTGACAAATGTGTGTTTAATAACTATCGACCGATATCCTTGTTACCACAGTTTTCTAAGATCTTGGAGAAATTATTTAGTAACAGACTAGACCAATTTATTGAAAGGCAAAATATTCTAACTAATAGCCAATATGGTTTTAGAGAAAAAAATTCCACATCCATGGCGCTAGTAGACTTTATGGAACAAGTAACAACTGCTGTGGACCGAAAACAGTATTGTGTGAGTGTGTTTGTGGACTTAAAAAAGGCATTTGATACTGTCGATCATAACATTCTTTTTGAAAAATTATACAAATACGGTATCAGAGGATTGGCACTGCAGTGGGTGTGCAGTTACTTAAAAAACAGGAACCAATTTGTGCAGATAAATGATGTGAGATCGGATTACTGCGCCATTACATGTGGAGTTCCTCAAGGATCTGTAATTGGTCCAAAGTTGTTCATCTT